ATGGTAAAAGGGAGGGAAAAAATCGTGCAAAATCTTTGCCTTTTGATATCCTTTCCAAAAAAAAAAACAAAATCTTTTGATATCTGACATTTACTCCAAACTGCAGCACTCCTTTTTAAAAAAGACCCAACAAAATCTTTTTATATCTTCGGCCTAATATTTTTTATTATTTGCTTTTTATTTCAAAAGCCCACGAAGCACGCTTATTGTGCTTCGGGCTTCTCTTGAGGGGCGCGATAAGCCCTCAACCCTCACTTTGGGCATAAGCCCTGGTGCTTTTGCTTTTGGTTTCACTCAAGAGGCCTCTTATACAATACTTTACTTATGTACCCATAATCATCCTGTCATCTAGTAAATGTGGGAACTTTGGAAGCATTCCCACCAACCCTCACTTTGAACAAAGTATCAATGAACCTCTTTTCAAATGGTCATCCATCTGTTCAACTCTTATCTTGGCCATTTCCTATGCCCTATATCACACCGCCTGTACGATAGAGCTCAACCACCATGATTATATCTTTCGATGCTTACCACTTCTTTGTTTGGCCTTTGAGGATTCTACTTACATGTCTAAGTTAGAGGCGCAACTCTAATTCCATCTTAATTTGTAGAGAATAATAATATTCTGAAATATTCAAATATGTGCCATTTAGGTCTTCTGATATAGTAGAAAAACCCACTGCAACATAAGGAGACCATTAATTAAGGAAACCATAAAACAACAAATACCAAAATGGACAACTAAAATGTACACAAATATCTTCGTATCTTGTTAAAAAAAATTTTACACAAATATCTAAATATTTGCCAAATCCTTGATGCTATTATGGTAGCTTATGATACAGTGAGTCAGTGGAAGAACTCGAAAAACAAAGGCTTCCTCCTCAAACTTGATTTTGAAAAGGTTTACGATAAAGTAGACTGGGACTTCCTTGATGCTGTTCTGGAGGCAAAAGGTTTTGGGGTTCGGTGGCGTAGGTGGATTAAGGGGTGCCTTTCATCTACCAACTTTTCTGTGTTGCTTAATGGAAAGCCTAGAGGTAAGGTAAAGGCCAAAAGAGGCTTAAGACAAGGGGATCCCCTCACCCCTTTTCTCTTCACGATTGTGGGTGATGCGTTGAGTAGATTAATTCACTTTTGCAATGAGAGGAATATTCTCAAAGGTTTCAATATTGGAACTAGCTCCTTAGAGGTGACTCACCTCTAATATGCTGACGATGTGCTTATTTTCTGCCCCATTTCAGCTCAGTTAATGGAGAATTGGTGGGGTCTCATTCATGTGTTTTTATTGGCGTCGGGTCTTTCTCTGAATGTCTCAAAAACTGTTGTGATTGATGTTAATTTTACAAGGTCAGAAGTTAGCTTCTGGTCTTCCTCATTTGGTTGCAAAATGGATTCTTTCCCTTTTAATTATCTTGGTTTTCGCCTAGGAGGGAACCACAAGACCACTAGTTTTTAGGCTTCGGTGGTGGACAAAATGCACAAAAGACTCCAAAAATGGAGATCTTTGCTTCTTTCCAAGGGTGGTAGGCTTACTTTTGCTCAGTATAACATCCCCATATACTTCTTTTTGATTCTCAAAGCTCCAGAGACAGGCTTACTCTTGCTCAGTATAGCATCCCCATATACTTCTTTTCGATTCTCAAAGCTCTAGAGACAGTCATATGGAATGGTGGGATTTCTAGATCGGTGGGGAATCTAGTGAAGTGGTCTTGGATGGCTTTGCCTCCTAAACCGGGGGGCCTTGGAATTGGCTTTTTGAGGCTAAGGAACAATGCTCTATTAATGAAATGGTTATGGCGGTTCACAATGGAAAGAGATAGCCTTTGGAAACGGGTGATAGCCACTATTTACAGTGTGGAGTCTTTTGGATGGTAGACAAAACCATCGGGTGGTTCTTCTATCGGAAGACCGTGGTGGGACATATAAGACAACCTCGGAGTTCTTCAAAAGTTCTCATTCTTCAAAGTTTCCTCAGGTGTCCAAGTCAGATTTTGGGAGGACCCATGGATTGATTCTGCCCCTCTTTCCACAACTTTCCCGGATTTGTTTGCGATATCCTCCAAGAAAGATATGTCCATTGCGGATTGTTGGTGTGAAAAGGCCTCAACTTGGAATCTCGGTTTCAAAAGAAATCTCTTTGAAAGCGAAATGAGTAGATGGGCAAACTTCACTGAAAAAAATAGAAGGTGCAACTATTGGAAATGGAAGGGACATTTAATGGTGGAAAGCGGACCCATCCGGCCGTTTCACAGTCAATTCAGCCATCATGGCTCTCACGTCCCCTTCTCCTAAACTTAATTCAGCTATAGCAAACTTGATTTGGAATTTTAGAGTCCCAAAGACGGTAAAATTCTTCATTTGGACTTTGTTCTATAGAGGGACAAATACCACAGAGAAACTTCAGAGGAAACTCCCTCACTGGACTCTTGCTTCCTCTGTGTGCACAATGTGTACGAGCAACAATGAAACAGTGGACCACCTCTTTCTCCACTGCCCTTTTGTTTCCAAAGCTTTGGGGTTTATAGCTTCTTTGCTAGATTTCTCTCTTTGCATTCCTAGAAGAATTGATGATTTCATTGCTGAAGGTTATGGAGGAAGGTAGCTCAAGGGCAAAGTTTTGGTTCTTTGGAATTGTGCGGCTCGGACTTTTTTATGGTCGATATGGAAGGAACGGAATAGTCGACTTTTTGAAGATAAGTTGATTTTGTTAAGATTTTTTTGTGTGAATATTAAGCTTCTAGAATCTGGGCTTCATTCACAAGAAAGTTTTTTGTAACTACAATCTTCTTTTGCTTACACAAGATTGGAAAACGGTGATTGTATGGAGCTTGGGGAGGGTTAGCTCTACCCTCCGCCTTTTGTTTGTATTCCCTTTAGGGGCCTTCTTGATATGAATACACTTATTTTGTTTCTTATAAAAAAAAAATTAAATTCCAACCGTAGGTATGATGTTTTGATGGTGTGCTCCAACTGGTACCATTTTCTATAAATGCCGTTGGTTTCTTGGGATTCCTTTCTCTCTCTCTTTTGTTCTTCTTTGGTGCTTAATAGAAGTTATTTTATTTTTTGGTTAGAATTCATTCCGAAAGATGATAATTTGTGTTTCTCAAGTGTTATGTAATAAATAATGTGCCATTATAAATTTTGGAAGGTTTTGCCTGAGTTTAGTTGGTTTGGTTAAACTCATTTTGATAGTTGAAAATTTGTTTTTCTCAGGTGCTATATGAATTAGAGGATAAAGCAGAAGTCATTTTAGAGGAAAGAGGTAGTAATTTAAGATCTATTTATTATAAAATCTGATGTACTGGCAAGTCATCTGCCTTTTGATTCCAGCATTGAGCAATTTAATTCTCTCTTTCATTACTAATCATGTTTTGATCTTAACGTGTCTTTTTTTTAATATTTGGAAATGGTGTGTTTCCTCGCCTATGTTAACGTGTCTTTCTCAGTTTCTCTCTCTGTTTTTTTTTGGTTGAAAAAACTAATAAACCGAGAGTGTTTACCAGTCGATTTAATCACCATTTCATATTCACACTTTATTTGATCTTTCATCTAGTTTGGATATGTCCTCATCTTCCTCTTGGTCCTCGTGGGCACTTTTTGATGTTAGGTTATCTTTTTATGATTTATCATCTGGGAATTATGTTGTATGGAAAAATACATGCTGAATTTCTATATCTTAACGAATGAAGACCCCAGGTCCCAGTTTGTTTTATTTGCAACAAAAATGCTCTTCAACAAATTTTTTTATTTTTTATTTTTTATGTCGATATATGTTTGCCCTTGTGTTGACGTTTTTGTATCTGGTGAGACATTGTCCATTAAGATTACCTGATTATTTATCACATTTTTGCAGCTGAACATGAGAGAATGATCGAGTCATATTCCCTTTTAAACCAAAAATTGCAGAATTCTATTTCTGAACAGGCAATTTTGGAGAAAACTATTAAAGAATTGAAGGTATGTGCGTATTACCAATAAGATGTCCCATTGTCCTGGTATTTTATTAATTGGGCTTATACAATTGTTCTGCAGGCTGATTTGAAGATACATGAGCGTGATTACATGTTAATTCAGAGAGAGAATGTTGACCTTTCGAAACAGGTAATTTAAAATTACATCTTTTTCCTAGAATTTTTGATTGCAGGTTCCTATCTGTTCTTGTCTTTTAGTATTGATTTTCTTATTGAAGCTAAGGTAAGTTTCACTCATTTTCAAAGACCATTAACAATTATACATGAACTTTTATTGGGTGTTGGGGATTACTTTGTTGGGCGGAAAGTTAAGCCTATGAAAATTTTTTGAATTTGCATAGGAATGGATTTCATATGTTTGAGAATGAAGGATATAGTGTTTCTATTTGGTTTGTGGGAATGATGGTTTCAGAATGTGATTTAAATTTTTAGTTATTTATTACCCAAAAAAGTAATTTCATTCTTTATAAATATATTAAGATTAATTTATATCTTTATGAATTTCATTATGTTTCAAAGGTGTTTTGTAATTATCAGTTAGATTCTATTCTTTTGGATTGGAAGCTATTTTTTTTTGGATAGGGCTTCTCCTTCTGGGCTTTTGTTTTTGTATGCCCTTGTATATGTTATCTATTTTCATTTGTGTTAATGAAAAGTCGGTTTCTTATTAAAGAAAATGTTGAATATGAATTTTGAATAAGACAAAGGAAAAAGTCGGTTTCGTCTTCCAAGGTCGGGAGATACCATACCCCAAGTTTATATCCTTGAACTTTTTCTCCCTTTCATATATATGAATAAAAAGTTATTTCTCGTTAAAAAAGAATGGTTTAAAAAACACATTTGGTCCTTGTACTTTTACTAAAGTAGCAATTTAGTCCAGGAATTTTAGTTTGTAACGAAATAGTACCTGTACTTTCCCTAAAGTAACAATTTAGTCCCTGAACTTTAACTTGTAACGATTTAGCCTTTTAGTTTAAAATTTGTAACAATTTAGTCCCCATCATAAAATTTTTTATTAAAATTAAGTGTCAAAATTTATCGTATAATAATTTAATCTTTCTAATTCATGAACATATTTGATCTCTCTTTAATTTATCAATCTATACATACAAGAAACTTAACAAAAAAAATTTCACGATAAGGACTAAACTGTTACCAATTTGAAAGTACAGGGACTAAATCATTACAATCTAAAGTTCAGAGACTAATCTGTTATTTTTTTAATGAAAGTACAGGGACTAAAAGTGATTTTTAACCAAAAAAAAAAAAAATTAGCTTCTTGCTGAAGTACAACTTTATCCATTAAGGTCATATTTGTTTGTTCAGATAAGTGTTTCCTTGATGTGCTTACTGTCGTTTGACCATAAATGTTGAAGGACTACGTGTATAATTTTCTTTAGATGCTCTATTTCTACAATTTGAAAGCGTGCCACTAAATATAATTTACCATTTTATAATTTAAGTTTTGTTTGATGGTTTTCTTAATGTGTCGTTAAGATTTTTCTAGTGCCCTCACTAACTGTGGTTCAATTAACATTTTAGGTATCAATTCTTCTGAAGGAATGTCGAGATGTGCAGCTTCGCTGTGGATATACTGGGCATGATGTTCACGAGAATCTTTCAAATACTACATCCTTTGATATGAATGTGGAATCTGATGCTGATAGAGTTATTTCCGAATACCTTGTATGTCCTTGTGCCTCTGAATATTATATTTTTCAATATGAGCAGTTCAGTGCTGCAAAAATAACCAATACATTTTCTGGAAAATAATTTAAACAGTTAACCTTCAAGGACATAAATGGATTAGTTGAGCAGAATGTCCAGCTTAGAAGCCTTGTACGTAAGCTTTCAGTGCAGATTCAGGATTCAGAGCTTGATTTCAAGGTTCGTTGCCATTTTTTGGCCATAAATGCTTTCGTTCTGAAAATTGTTATCATGATAGATGAGCATTATGGAAACGCAGGAGAAAATGGAGGTTGAATTGAAAAGGCATACTCAAGAAGCTGCATCTAAAGTTGAAGCAGTGTTACAAAAAGTTGAAGAGCAGGGACAGATGATTGAGTCCCTTCATGCCTCCGTGAGTTGTTCTTGGATTTCATTTTTTAATTGGTTCCTTCCTGCTAGTTCTCTTGTTTTATTTTTTATCAAGTCCCGTTCGGGTTCTCGAAATCCTCGAGTCTAACTTTGCCTGGTTTTAACTATTTGTGAGTTATTACAAAAAGTTTGAGGCTGCTATTGGTTTGGCTTAAATTTTGTGCTTTTGCTGGTTGGTTGAGCTGGATTTTGTTTTAATTTTCTGCTGCGTCCCTTTCTATTTCTGAGTACTTTTGTTCTCCAAAATTAAAGAGAACGACAGGAAACTACCAACCAACATATTTTTAACTCTCTTTTTGGAAAATAAATGGTTCGATTTGATTTTGTTTTCTGTATAGAAGAAGGACCTGGGTTCCTGCCGTTCTGTTAATGGAATCTTTATGCTTTTTCCTCATAAAAATATCTTTGTGCTATGTGATCAATGAAGGTTGCCATGTATAAAAGACTATATGAAGAGGAACATAAGCGTAACGTGTCCCATCCCCTATCAGCTGAAGTTGCTCTAGGTATGTCTTTCTTTCTTCCCGAATAATAGTGGTCTGTGTTCTGTTGAACATTTTATATTCTTATTATTGAAAGTTTTTTCCCTTTTGGTAAAGACAATATGAGAAGATTTGAAAGTTAGCTGAAGTAGGTTTTTACTAGTCATGCTCCACAACAGGTTATTTTATTCAGTCTCAAGAGGCCAGGAGAAGGGAGGCCCAAATTCTCATCCCCCTGTCTCCATAATTAAACTTAGTTTGATATAAGATATTCATTGTTGTCGAAGAAAAATCTCTCTCGTAATTCATTGCTCATGTCCTACTCCTTGAGAATCTTCATGGGAAGACCATGTCGATAGTTGATTCCTCCAGTATTTTAAAGGCTAAAAAAGCAGTTAAAGGCCTTTTTTCTTCGTGAAGCATGTGAAGAAATGGATATAATCACAAATGTTCACTAATTCTACAGTTAGAGCACCAATCGTATAAAAGCTTCATCTTGAGCAGTTGGTAAAACAAATATTGTAGAATGAAAAAGAATCGGAATAGAAAAATTTGGCTCTCTTTCTCAATGAAAAAATTTTGTTTCCTTGTAAAAGAAAAATGGTACTGGAATAGAAAAATATATTAGTGAAAGGAAAAAGACAAGTGAAAGCCAGGTAGAAGTAAATCTGGATTTCTTACTTCAATGGTAAAAAGGAAGAAAAAAAAAAGAAATGGAGTTTCTTTGATTCTTTTTCAGCCATGGGTACCACTTCCATTGTTGATTTTAATGGCAAAAAGAAGTTTACATCATTTACAAGTACCCCACAATTATTATCTTCACAAATAATGGGACAAATTTTTAGATAAGAGACAGAGAATGTATTAGAAAAACTCCAAAGACGAGGGAAACAACCTAGTGGCTGAGACTAAAGACCTTGTAGCACAAGGGTCTTATTCCTGCCTCTAAATTTTCGACCATCCAGAGCTTCAAGAAGCCAACCATCCTGGTGAAGACTCAAATTGAGAGAGAATTTAGAAATATTTCATTAGCCTTCAAGGAGATTAAGTAACCTATTTATAGGCCTTTTTGTCCCTAACAGCCGTGAAGCTATTTATAGTGTAGTAATTCTGTTTATAACTAACAAGAGAGCTAATAGGATTTTAAAAACTAAACAAAAGGGCTGTTAACGAACAACAACCAAGCTAGGGCAGATAGCTACATCAAATTAACTAACTCACTAAATCAATTTGGATTGCTGTTAAGAGTGGCAGAGTTAAGCTTGTCAGCAAGCAACACCCATCTATTGCATGCCTTAAAATGGGAGGAATGTCTCTAAATTAGCAGCTAAGAATGTAACCATTTTGTGTGTTACTATGGCCATTAAGAAGTTCCCACACAAAATTGAACAAAAAGTATCCTCATTTAGCCAAGATTTTAGTTACTATGGTCTCATTCTCACAAAAAAAGAGTTAGGTTTGTTGTTTGCGTAGTAGTCTTTTTGGGAGGCTTGTAATCTGGAAGGTGTTGTCTGTGCATGCCAAGGATTCTACTAATTCAAACATTTTACATTTACGAATTTACTTGTGCTGCAGATTCTGGTAGGAGGGAACTTGAGATTGTTTCTGAAGATTCTCAGGTTTGATTGGAAACATTATAGAGATGTCCAAGTGTGTAATACTCCTTGCTTCTTATCATTTCATTTTCTGTTATTACATAGGAAGGAACAAAGGCAGCACAGAAGCAGACTGCTAAACGAGTAAGATATCTTGAAGAAGAGCTTGAAAAATCTAGGTAATTGGCTTTCCCTTGTTTACATTTTAAATTACTATCATGTGCAAATAAATGAATACGACTAAAAATTATATTCTAATATTTGGGGTTTGTATCTTGAACATTTTTTCTTTTCATATATCAATGAAAAGTTGTTCCTCGTTAAAAAAAAAATTTATTGCTTATTTTAAGGTGACTAGAACAAAAACAAAAATGATATTGTGGTAGGGAAGGTTATAGTAGCAGAAGCCAGCCACTTGAATTTTTATTTTTTTAAAAAAAGAATCAGAACTTTTCATTGATGAAATGAGATATTAAATAAGAGTACCAACAAATTCCAAAGAATAACTAGAGCTGAAGCTGAATTAAAAAACTCTGAACCCAAACTATTGAAGAAAAAGCAAGCCAGTAAATCGTAATGAGCTATATATTCTTTGAAAGTTACAAAAAACAACTTCATAATCTTTGACAGCAACAACTTCAATTTTCCTAGAAAAGCTTTTTGTTTTCAACTTTGAAATCAAACAAAAAGGCTGAATACTTGATGTATGAAGATACCACCGGCCTTAGAGTAACCAACACTGACACCAACTGGAAGAATATATATATATATATATATATATATATATTATTTTTTTTTTGATAAGAAACAGAATAAGTGTATTCATATCAAGAAGGCCCCTAAAGGGGATACAAACAAAAGGCGGAGGGTAAAGCTAACCCTCCTCAAAGCTCTATACAATCGCCGCTTTCCAATCTTGCGTAAGCAAAAGAAGATTGTAGTTACAAAAAACTTTCTTGTGTAGTAAAGCCCACCAAGAAGCTCAACTGGAAGAATGACAACTACAGCAGAAGCTGAATTACAAGTCTGAACCCAAACTCTTGGAGAAAAAGCAAGCCAATAAATGTTAATGAGCTATCAACTCTTTATAAATAAATGTGCTGTCCTTGGTTCAGCATCAATAAGGAGTGGCTCGGGAGAAAAGCTGTCCAGCTTAAAATTTGGGAACGGCAAAAGAGTTCTATTTTGCCACCATTTTCAGCTTTCCTTAGTTCCTCTAATTATTGTTTGTGAATCTTGGGATAGTCATTCTTCTTCATGGAGGCTGGAAATGAGGAGATCTTTGAAAGATGATAAAATTGATGATTTTGTGGCTCTCCTAGATTGTCTTTCTACATTTGCTCCTAGTGAGGAATAAGATGTTAGGCAATGGACCTTGGGAATTCAGGAAGAGGATGTTAGGAAGAGGGTTATTCGCAGTAAGCTCTTTGTGCAAAAATAATGATATTCCTTCTAAACTCCCCAAAAAGGTTAGTTTCTTGACTTGGATTCTGCTCAACGGGAAGGTTAATTCAGTAGACATACTCCAAAAAAGCTACCTAATTTGGTATTACAGCCCTCAATGTGTGTGCTATGCGATGCATATTTCTTTTTGTCCCTTTGTGGTGGTCTGCTGGAATTTTCTTCTTATTATTTTCAACATCTCATTGGTATTTTTTGAGTCTTTAAATTTTGTACACCAAAAAACTTTGGAACCCAGAAACAGCGGCTCTTCATCAAGTTTAATTGTATTTTCCCATCAGACTAACTTCTCAAGGTCATTTATGGCAA